ATCTCGCGCTGTTAATGCAATATATCGTGTCTGATCAGGGCATTCAATACATCGCATATTTCATTGAAGCATAATTGTCATGCGACGTTACGACTTCCCTTTATTTGAGTATAACCACGGTTAATTGGCGGTGATAACAATCGGCTAAGAATATTATCTGTACCGAAGAAACTCTAAGATTAGGAACCAACACACAAATAATGTTAGTGTTTATACGTCGGAGGGCGGGTTCGTTGCCCTGTGTAAAAGAGCGAAGTAGCTCGGATTGCCGATTATATAAAAAATATTTAAAATAATTGTTATCAAGTTTCAAAATTTATCTGTTGAATAATCAATTAATTCCTGCACGATATACAGAAATTGTTTTTGATAATTGCTTTATTGATTTTTCTCGTTCCCTGAATTATCCCTTAAGTTAACATCTTTATCTTTCTAAATAACTTTATTTCTGCCCTTTTTTGGGTACAGACAATATTCTCAGTTTATATAAAACAATTTCATAAACATCTTAACAGCTATGATTCTAGTTTTTATTCTTAAACTTTAAAAAAAGAAACTCGCAATCATTTGTGAAAGGAAAGGTTTATTTAAATAAGCACAATCAATTTTTTATTTTTTATATTTATTAAATCGTGTAATTCTAAGGAAATCGTGTCTTCAATTTCTACGTGTATTAATTGTATTTAAGTAATCGCGATTCTTTGAGTTAATCAAATAATTCAAAAAAGAAAATATATGGCATAAACGGTAATTTCGAATTTACTTAAGATTTTTCCACATTAATTTAACAGAAATTTTATGTATACAATTCGAATTTGAATTTTCCCTCCTTAATTTCCACTTACGCACATTGGGTTGGACTAAGACGAATTTTGAGTACAACCACGGAAGGTAAGTGCTAGGTAACTATCTATCCCGCAAAGTCACGTAGGGTTAGGTCGTCCTCAGGGCCCTTGGGTGTCTTGAGCACTGCTCAAGTCATCGACCCAGGAACTTCACCTAAGAAACGTGGTCGCTAACCCTAGTGCCTTGACTACTTAGGGATGCGTCATCTCCACGCTTAAAGCGATCGAGCACCGAAAGTCCAAGTAGATACCGGTTAGTGGAAGTGATACCTGTAGGTGGTGTACAAACTTTCAGCTCTTGGCCTTCGTAGTTGGTCTCTTTCTCTCACCTTGTGCTCGTCGCGGTAATGTACCGGTGCACGGAAGAGTTCCAGGTCTGGGTGAGCAGCAGATCTTCCGCGTCCCAGATTCGCTGAAAAAGGACTGCTTTGGTGAACGTGTTCTAGCGTTTTCTTAACGTACTAGACGGACATTCCCCGCGCGTGGTGTTGATATTTAAATTTTTATGTTTTAAGTCAGTACATGTTTCAAATAGGAATTTTTTATGAAACAAAATGAAATATAAGTATACAAAAAAAAAATGTGTACCCTTTAATTGTCCCCCCTTGAATTGTTTATTTGACGGTTTTTTTATTATAAGGAAAATACAATAAATAGAAGAATATAAATATAAATGAAAGGCGTATATTATAAATTCTAGGTGACAGAACTGCCCCCTTGCAACATCATTTACCTATTCAATGCTCAAATGTGAAAAAATAACGTTTTAAAAATGAAATAGCTTACTACTATATCATTGTGATATGACGTACATTATTTAGATGCGTTTTGTACAAACAAAACTCAAATAATTTGTTAACAAATCTTTGTTTTGCTTATGTTACTTGAATATATCTAATGATTTCCTGTGTTGCATAAGCTGTAAAGGTTATACGTCCGTTAGCCATGTATGTATATAATATAACGACTGCTCCTACTGCTACTGCTCGTTGTGCTGCTGCTCCTCCTCACATTATATATAACTATATATACCTGCTCACTTGGTTCTGTGCACATAAGGCGGGACTGATATGAGGCTTTTTCTAGCTCAAAATCGGGTCAGATGCAATGAACTTTTGGCGCAGGTGTAAGGAAAACAATTTATACATTAACAACCTACATGGTATTTTACTTGATATTACACATGGTTTTTTTATGTCGTGAGACATGTTTTTACTTATATCATTCCAGAAAGAATTACATGATCTCCGTCTATAGAAATAAAATTGGCCACTCTCGAAAATGCTCATCAGTAATGTTTTACGTCAACTTTTAAACTAATTAGTTACATTACCAATTAAATAAAAATCAAGTACACATATTTACATTTTATAAACTAAGACTAGTTCTTTTTGCATGTGAAGCATGTTATTCTCTACTTGGAAAGATAATCTAGAATACATGAGTTTAAATAAATGAATTTAAAAAGTCACAACATACTTTGAGAGTAATCGCAATAAAAATTTGTATCTCATTAATCTTAAAAACTGCAATGCATGAATTTGATAAGCATCAAACTTCTGCAACGCAAGAATGTACTCTCCACAGTTTAGTGATAGCGCTTGCACAGCTCCACACCGTGTCAAGCTGCTATATAGCTTGAAGAAAAAGGCTCGCAAGTTTGGCCATTTGGATTATATGATAAACTCGAGATTCATAGCTCCCCATTTTTAATCGACTTGGTACAACGTGAATATAGGAATATGTTCCCGATGTACAACTACATTCACAATCTGTAAGCTGCGTGGTAACGGGAGCGGCAAAATCGGGAGTTGTACATAGAATATACGATAGAATACCTATATTAACGTTGCACAAAATCGGTTAGGAAGGGGCAGCCAGGAGTCTTGAGTTTGTTGTCATCAGAGAGTCCACACGGCTAAATTCGTAATGATAAAATCTCTCTTCAAGCCGTAGCAGCTTAACACGTCGCTAGACTGTGGAGAGCACATTCTTGTGTTGCAGAAGTCTAATGTTTCATCAAACTCATACATTAAAATTTTTTGACCTATTGTATTCAATCAACTTAGATTAGCTTCTATAAGCTCAGAAAACTTTTGAGCTTAAATAACCTAAATTATTTTTCCGTGTGGATTTCAATGTCAAGATTCATGGCTCCCCTTTTTTAACCAATTTTGTACAACGTAAATATAGGAATACAAATAGGGTATAACTGCATACACAATATGTCAGCTGAGCGGCAACGTTAGCGCAAAATTGGGATTTATTTTTCCGTGTAAACTTTAACACCACTATAGCGTCAATAACTGGCACTACATATGGCACCATTTGAACTTTACCTTACCTAGTAGTCAAATATATTCATACGCTGGTTAGTAATCGAATTTATTGGTACTGTCACGGACGTGGCTTGGTTCAGTCAAGCCAGCGCCCGTGTGTTGGCATACCGGCGTACAACTAACGGCATAATAGAGTGCACCTAAGAGTGCAATTAAGGAGGTTCGAGCACTCTACGTGGAGAGGTGAGTAGGTATGCGGGGGCTCTCATCAGACAACGTGTTGAAGTGAGTTGTACTAACCCTTAAATGTTATGAAAAAATTACGGTACATACTTTAAAGCAGCTAGTTTTCGATAGTTCGTGTACAAAATTTAAAAATATGTTGTTTGCACGATAAAAATTATCCTTAAAAAAGTAGGAGACTCAATTTTCATTAAAAAAAGTGTGTTATAAATTTTCTAAAAACAAACTTTTTTTTCACATCATTATAGTTTGAGGTCTTGGGAAGGGCTGTGCCAAGTTGCAGATCATGATTTCAACTTAAACAAATTCTAGACAGAATTTTGTAATGACGTCTCGCTCCGTATAAAATACCAGCTGGCAGCAGACGATGCTCGGTTCTCTCCCATACACTTAGTATAGGACCCGCTCGTGATTTTGTCACAGATATTTCTTCCAAATGCCTGATAAGGTACATATTTTTTGATACGAGTGTCTTCCTCAGGACTTGAACTTTTGGTACAAACTTTTTTATTACGCCGAAAAACATTTTGACATACTTACACACATGATTAAAACTTTCAGAATGGCCTTTCCCATAAGATGCTATGTTATATTCGCACATTTTAATAATTTTTTTCTTAAAGATATGTCTGGTAAAAAATATTTAAAAAATTCATGAAGGTTTTTGATGTGTTAACGAATCTTATATATTTTTTCCGAGGGTAAAAAGCATGTTTAATCAATGCCCGAACCTCCTTAATACAGTCGCACTTGGCGGTGGTCGTGGCTGAGCGGGCAACGTAAAGTTTCGCGAATCCTTAGTTGACGGGTTCGAGCCCCTGCTTCGCCTTTTTGGTGGAGCATTTCACAACAATATTTCGGACTCTTTAATCCATTTATTTAATAAATCGAAATTACCTGTTCGCTATCTACACGAGAATTCCCGAAGCTTGTTTCGTAACCGTACCAATAAAATTCTTTTGTTATACATTTTTTTGTGTTGAGTTATTTATTTATTAGTTTTAAAAAAATTGCCTTATTCATGAGAGTAAGCGAAAAAACCGATGTAAAATTATAGTGGCGCCACTCTATTTTGTAAGTACTTAAAAAAAAAAAGAAAAAAAAAATTACAAAAATATAAGACAAACAGAAAATTAACATAATTTCAGATTTATATTCAAATTAATATCGAATAAAATAAGTAATTTTTTTTACCTAGGATTTGATTTACTTTTTACGTATTGATCACGCAAGCTTTATGAATATTTATTTAGTGGTTGGTATTTATTTACTGGTGCAGTTACCTCTATTCCTATAGTAAAAAACTAAGAGCTTGTGACGTAAAAGAATGTTATGTATCTTTTCGAAGCATTCGGTTATGGATTCGGAAGGTGGTGAGTTAAAATACATGTGTTTTAAATATGGTATAAATGTAATAGTGAGGTTTAGTTTTTATTTGGTGCGTCATAATATTAATTTTTTAACGCAATGATAAAAAACTGTAATGCTCCTTTCTTTTGATGAGAGCTTGTCATGTTCTGCATTGCGTTAGTATAGGAAAATAGCCTCTTTTCATTTTAGCCCTTAAAGTTTTATGTAAAATAACACATATATAAATAATTGGATTTATTGTGACAAAAACACAACCTTTAAGGTACCTAACAACTCAAGCACCAGTCAACGCAGTAAAAGTTAAAAAATCAGAAGATGGACAACCCACCAATAAGGAATCACAATCTTTTACCATGAATGTATTCCGTGGTCATTTACAAATCAGTCAAGTTTTTCCATATCCTGAAGTATTGAATGACGAACAAGAAGAAACGTTGAAAATGTTGATTGATCCATTAGAAAAGTTTTATAAAGTAAGCTAAGAGCACATTAACTACATTATTAATATACTATGTAAACATAATAACCTAAATTTTTTTTAGGAAGTAAATGATCCTTCAAAAAATGATGAGAATGCTTTTATTGACGATAAAACTATGCAAGCTCTTTGGGATCTAGGTGCATTCAGTATTCAAGTGCCTCAAGAGTTTGGTGGTCTTGGCCTAAACAATACTCAATATGCCAGATTAGTTGAAGTTGTTGGTCAGCATGACTTGGGGGTTGGCATTACCTTAGGCGCTCATCAAAGCATTGGTTTTAAGGTAAAATATAAGATTTTTTCTTTAAGAATGATAAGAACAGTTCTAAAAGTTTTGTGTGTTATAGGGTATACTTTTATTTGGAACTTCAGAGCAAAAAAAAAAATACCTTCCCATGGTTAGCAACGGTAGTATAGCTGCTTTTTGTCTTACTGAACCAAGCTGTGGCTCAGATGCAAGTGCAGTTCGTTCTAAAGCTATTAAGTCAGTTGATGGCTCTTACTACGTACTAAACGGCAGTAAAATTTGGATTTCAAATGGAGGAATCGCAGAAATATTAACAGTGTTTGCTCAGGTTCCTACTAAAAATTCCGCAACCGGTAAAGTTGAAGATAAGGTGACTGGATTTATTGTGGAAAGAGCTTTTGGTGGAATTACAAGTGGACCACCAGAAAAAAAAATGGGTATAAAATGTAGTAATACAACAGAAGTTTATTTTGAAGATGTAAAAATTCCAGCAAATAATGTCTTGGGTGGCGAAGGTCAGGGTTTCAAGGTTATAATTTTTTCTTTTTCGTTATTTTCCTTTTAGAAAATGTCAGATGATATTTCATGCCAAGAATTCAGATCAAACTTACCGGTTCCTGATGGAGTTCAGTTTGATGTAACATTTAAAAAGAGTTTTCGTCAGTGCTGCGCCTCCAGGACGATCACTGGGCCTAAGGGTGCTTGCAAATAAAAACCTAAAGCGCCTTTGTGGTTGCCCTGGCTAGATGCGTGTCAGTGGCGAACGTTATTTTTCCACCAAATGTACACTAAACGTAAAAAAGTGCCTATTGTTTTGACTGTGTAAACAATTTACAGTTCTCTTATGGGTTAATTAGGCTATACCATTATAATAGCACATTAAAAGCCCTGTGTATCAAAAAAAGTTACGTTGAAAAATCCCATTCAAAAGCCATGTAATTTCATGTTGCTCACAGGGTGCTTCTCATTCATATTTCATATGGTTTTCTTATTTTATCAAATTACCATGTAGTTTTTAATGCCAAATATTTTTACGATTCGTATAATTTTACGGGTACAGATTATGTACTGCGTAATAACACTGCTAAAAATAATCAGCTGATTTGTCAGCTGATAAATCAGCTGATTTCTGATGCCAAATCGTCAGCTAATTTTTTGACTGTGTGAAAAAATACAAGTCCCGAGGGAAAATTTTTTTTTTTGGCCATCATCAAAACTATGCATTCTGGCACTTATACGGTAAAATGAGATAAGTGACACTTGTGAGTTTTAAAAACTTTTCGATAGCCAAAATTACAAGTTCCGTACGCTGAAAAAGTATAAGTCCCGTCAGTGTGACAAAATACAAGTCCCGCATAAATTTTTTTTCTTTTGCCATCATCCAAACAATGCGTTTTGGGACATTCACAGTAAAATGAGATGGGTGAAAATTGAGAGGTTTAAAAAATTTTCACCTGTCACTTTTTTTTGTAAATGTCCCAAAGTACAGACTTTTGATATTCCTAAATGTATTTTTTTTTTCTCTGGAACTCGTATTTTTTGGCACTGAAGAGACTTAAACTTTTTTTAGCGCACGAAACTTGTAATTATTGCTATCGAAAATTTTCTAAACCTCTTAATATTCACCTATTTTATTTGACTGTAAATTCCCCAAAATGCATTGTTTTGATGGACAAAAAAAAATCTTTCCCTCGGGACTTGTATTTTGTCACACTGATGAGACTTAAGGTAGTTGTATCCCACGATATTGTCAATGCAGCAGATTTAATGGTTTGGTATGTCATATATTCCTCTCACACTTGTGCTAAAACATAACCTTTAGCAGCTTTTTCTGCACTTATTAATTTATTTCTTATCTCACAGACATCCTCGAAATGTTACATAAAATTAAATAAGATCATTGGCCATTTTTGAAATACGCAAAAAAAACATCGTCAAAAGTTAACCATTATTTTGTGGGATATACGCAATTGAAGCCCAGAAAAATACATTTCTCCGTAAGGATCCATGTTAAAGTATGAAAACAGTAAATATCAAAATTTTGCTTTCTAAGAACTCTAGCCTTACAAAAATTTAACCGAGTTCGTAATAGGCAATAATTTAGCTGTATGGTAAGTTTCATGAAGATCTCATCGTTATTTTTGTTTGGGATAAAACTACCTTAAACCTTTTTTTTCAGAGCACGGAACTTGTAATTTTACCAAAAATTTCTTAAACCTCTCAATTTGTATCTATCTCATTATACTGTAAATGTCCCAGAATGCATAGTTTTAATAATGGCAAAAAATAATTTTCGCCTGCACTTGTTTTTTTTCTTGATGATGGAAGTTAATTTTTTTCAGCGCACGGAACTTAAAATTTTTGCTATCAAAAAATTTTTCAAATCTCCTAATTGTCACCTGCCTCATTCTTCTCTAAATGTCCCTAAACGCAGATTTTTGATGTTCGTAAACGTAATTTTTTTCATCGGAACGTTGATTTCGTCGCACTGACGGGACTTATACTTTTTCAGCGCACGGGACTTGTAATTTTGGCTATCGAAAAATTTTCAATACTTTTTCAGCGCACGAAACTTATAATTTTGGCTATCGAAAAATTTTCAATACTTTTTCAGCGCACGGAACTTGTAATTTTGGCTATCGAAAAATTTTCAATACTTTTTCAGCGCACGGAACTTATAATTTTGGCTATCGAAAAATTTTCAATACTTTTTCAGCGCACGGGACTTGTGATTTTGGCTATCGAAAGACTTTCAATGCTTTTTCAGCGCATGGAACTTGCAATTTTGGCTATCGAAAAATTTTGAAAACTCACAAGTGTCACCTATCTCATTTTATTGTATAAGTCCCAGAATGCATAGTTTTGATGATGGCAAAAAAAAAATTTTTCCTCGGGACTTGTACTTTTTCACACTGATGGGACTTGTATTTTTTGGCACAGTCAAAAAATCAGCTCCTCTATAG